ATTATAATGATGATTTTAAAACTATGGTAATTACTGAAATAGTACTGACAACAATGGTGCTTATGATAACTATAATTGCGATACTATACATGATCAGTAAATATCATGCTATTTATATCAATGCTATCAATAAATATAATAATAATGGTTACTTTCATGATAATTATAACGGTAAAGATCCAGCCATGTTCTACTAAGACATCACAAATATTGCAGTACCGGTAGTAATATAAGATTATATGACAATAAATTGATATCACTATTACCCTTATCGGCACGACAGTGATATGTTGAGCGTCACGAATACAGATAAGGACTGATAAAAACAGCAATAATAAAACGACATTACTCTGCGAGTGCACATACACAGTCGGACGGATACACACACACACACACACACACACACACACACACACACACACACACACACACACATACACACACCCACACACACACACACACACATGCACATACACACACACACACGCGCGCGCACACACACACACACACACAACAACAACAACACTCCATAAGGGGGAGGGGGGCACGGTACACAAACAGAATACAGAAAACAGCCAGCAGAGGCCGCGAGAGACAGACAAGTTGAATTGGTCCCACAGTGTAAGGTCAAGAGAGCGAGAGAGAACTGTTAACCCATTGTCACTGCTTGGCTGACCTTAAGTTTCAAGTTGACTGAGAAGTAGGGAAGGAGGGAGGGAGGGTGAGGGAGATGGAGAGGGAGTGAGAGATAGGTAGAGTGAGGGAGAGAGAGAGAGGGTGAGAGATGAGTAGAGTGAGGGAGAGGGAGAGAGGGAGAGGGAGAGGGAGAGAGGGAGGTTGATGGAGGGACGGAGGGAGGGAAAGGGCGGGAGCAGGAGGAATGGAGAAAGGGTGATGGAAGGAAGGTTATGGAGAGAGAAGGAGGGAAAAGGAGGAACAAAGACAGAGAAAAAAAGATGCAGGGAGGGAGAGAAGAAGGAAGTGGGATGAAGGACAGAGAGAGAAAACAAGTATGTACTGCAAGTAGGAGGGAAGGAAAAAGACGGAGGCAAAAAGGAAGATGAGGGAGGAAGTTGGAAGGACGGAGGGAGAGAGGCAAGGCGGGACTGAGATGGTTATGGGGAAGGAAAAAGGAAGGATGAAAGACCAGAGAGAGAGAAAACATATGGGCATATCGGTAGGAAGAGAAATCGAAAGATAGAGAAACTGATTGATTAATTATATGAAAGACAGATAGACTGGTAGGTAGATAGGCAGACAGATCGCTAGCTAGGCAGAGACTGTCCCCTCCGACTGCCTATCGATCTTCTTCTCCCTCCCTTCCCCTCTTTCCTTCCTTCCTTTTCCCCTTCTGCGTTCTTTCCATATATTCCCCTTCTCTCTTCCTTCCGTTTTTTCTTCTTCCTTTTCCTCCATCCTCCCCTGCTCCCCATCTCTCCTCCCCTTACCCCTCTCCCTCTCTGTTCTCCTAACCCTTCCCTTCCTCCCCTTTCCTTCCCTACCCTCCTTTCCCATTTTCCTTTCTTACTCTCTTTCCTTCCTTACCCCCCCCCCTTCCTCTTCTCCTTCTCCTTCCTCCTTTCCTTCCCCCTCTCCCTCTCCTTCCTCTTCTTCCTTACCCTCCCTTTCCTCCCTCTCCTTCTCCTCCTTCCTCTCCTTCCCCTCCTGCATTCCTTCCCCTTTCCTCCCTCTCCTTCCCTTTCTCCCTCTCCTCCTTTTTCTTCCTCTTGTTCCTTGCCCTCCTCCCTCTCCTCCTCCTCCTTCCCCTCCTGTCTCTCCTTCCTCTTGTTTCTTGCCCTCCTTCCCCACCTTCCTTGCCCCCCCCCCTCCTTCCTCTTGTTCCTTCCCCTCCTACTCCTCCTTCCTTGCCCCCCCCCCTCCTTCCTCTTCTTCCTTGCCCTCCCTTTCCTCCCTCTCCTTCCCCTCCTTCCTCTCCTTCTCCTCCTTCCCCTCCTGTCTCTCCTTCCTCTTGTTCCTTGCCCTCCTACCCCTCCTTCCTTGTCCCCCCCCCTCCTTCCCCACATTCCTTGCCCCCCCCTCCTTCCTCTTGTTCCTTCCCCTCCTACTCCTCCTTCCTTGCCCCCCCCCTCCTTCCTCTTCTTCCTTGCCCTCTCTCTTTCCTCCCTCTCCTTCCCCTCCTTCCTCTCCTTCTCCTCCTTCCCCTCCTGTCTCTCCTTCCTCTTGTTCCTTGCCCTCCTACCCCTCCTTCCTTCCCCTCCCCCTCCTTCCTCTTGTTCCTTCCCCTCCTACCCCACCTTCCTTGCCCCCCCCCCCTCCTTCCTTGCCCCCTCCTTCCTTGCCCCCTCTCCTTCCTTGCCCCCCCCCCCCCTCCTTCCAAGAAAGTACCCGGACCGCAGCGAGTCAGCCGGCGCAACACTCGACTCGCCCCCGCAGGTCTTGGAGTGAAACCGAGGGCAAAATTAGGTCTCATCGTCTGCGGAGAGCGAGCGTGCGGAAAAAAGAGCGACTTTTCGCATCGGGTGGGCGTGCGGGCGTACGGGCGGACTGATAGATCACGGACACGAGAGGAGACGGTGGGTGATGGAAATTGAGGGAAGGGAGAGGAAGGTGAGAGGAAGAAGGGAATAGTGAGCGGGGGAGGGATGGAGAGGAGGGTGGAGGGGAGGAGGGGGGGGGGTAGAAGGAGGCGGAGAGGGAAGAGGAAAGGAGAAATGGGAGAGATTTGAGGAGGGGGAGGGGGAGGGGTGGTGTTGGAAGGGAGAGGGGGTGTGGTGGCTGGGGGGGGGGTCAGTGGAGGAGGTTGAGAAGAGAAGAGAGAGAGGAATGCAAGAGGGTAAAGGGAGGGATAGGAGAGAGAGACAAAGAGAGGGAAAGGAAGGGGTAAATATCGGTAGACAGAGAGTGGAAGAGAAAATGAACAAGTAAACTGAAGAAAATAAAGAATGTGGTGATGATAAAAATGATAATAAGGATAGTAATAATACAGGGGATGATAATATCAACAATAACAATAATGGTAATGATGATAGCAACAAAAACAACAACAACAATAATAGTAATAATAGTGATAATAATAATAGTAATATAAACAATAATAATAATAATAATAATAATA